GTTTTTTTTTTCTAATAAGGTTTTAACGAGGTACATTATCTATGGACATCCAAGGGGGAGTGTTATAAGAAAAGTCAAATTATGGTGGATGTCTATTCTTCCTCCATGATCTTCTCAAATGCTTAATGACATATTCAATGACATATTTCTATGCTTAATGACATATTTAATGACATATTTTTCTTCACTTTTTATGCCTATATAAAGGCCTTGTAATAGATAGGAAAATACACACAATTGAAGAAGAAAATCTCTTCCTTCTCTCTATCTCCATTTCTTGTTCATGTTTTACTAAATTGCTTTTATTTCATAACAACATGTCTTGTTCATGTTTTACTAAGTTGCTTTTATTTTATAACAGAAAATTGTTTATATGAATTAACTTAGGCATTTATTTGATTATGTTTTAGATAAATTTCATTATTTTGGCAATACAGAGCTTTTGCTAGCAAATAGGTGAACCAAAAATTTGAATTTATGAGTTCTGGATTCTAAAAAAGATAGCTTATTGAGTTCAAGATAAATTATTTTTACATATTCAGTGAATTTCTTAACCGTGTTTTGTCCAAAACTGTTGAATTCTGCTTAACCCGTATCTAGAACTCTAGATCCACCTCACAAAATCTCAAGAATTCTAACGTAAGAACAGTAACAGCCTTTTTTTTTTTTCTGAATAGTGGTGTTCACATGCACCTCAACCAATCCACCGGATACTTGTTATCTGGTATCAAATACAAATACGAAATAACTCTGCCTCCAAAAAGACTATAGTTCTTATTCCAGAAAGAAGGGGAGATAATATAGACCAGAAAAATTAGAGAAAGTCATCAATCTCATTAGTTATTGAAACCAGAAACAAAGTATGTCTCATTTAGCATTGAAATTAAGGAAATTGCTATCATAAGAGAAAATAAAACATGTAAAAGCCTTCATCTTATTAAAATGGTGCATATTCAACCCAGAACTCTTGATCAATGCTTGTGGAAATCTGGATCCTTAACAACAGTCACACCACATGTCGCATTAGTCAATACATAGTTGGTCACACTTCCCATTATTATCCTGTTTTATCACCAAACCAAAAGATACATATCCAAATATTAATGGCAACACATATTACTTGAATGACAAAAGGTAAATTAAAGATCAATTTTTAGCTAGTAAATTGTCAAAAAGGAATAAAAAAAATTTGGACAGAGCATTAAAAAGAAGTACCTTTGGAGGGTACCAAGACCTCTGCTACCCATAACCAAAGAATCCAACTTCAGATCTTCAGTAGCATCTATGAGTTTCTCCCTAGCATCTCCCCAGTATAATTTGGTGACAACTTTTATCTATACAAAGATCAATGAAATATTTTCAGGAAAATTAACCCCAAAAAAGAAAGAGAAAGATTTGATGATAAAAAGGAAACCTCTTTCTGCCTAGTAGCAGTATCAAGCAAATCAAGAACATCAATATCAGTCTCCACATCATATTTCTTCATAACTTCAGGCTCCCTAAACTCCGCCAACGGAATTAAAGCTAACAAAACAAAACGAAAATGAAAGTATTAACAACATGATCCACACAAAGTATAACAGATCGCCTAAAAGATAACTACAATTAACTGCTCATATAAAGTTAAATTAATAACAGAAAAAATAAGGTAGATTACTTACGAGAACCAGATTTGGCCCAGAGCTTATTACGTGACTCGTCAGAAGAATGAGTCTTGATATGGATGATGTAAAAGGTGTCGTCTTTGTCAGCTAAGTTATCAATGGCCCATTTAAGAGCAGTTTTGCTGCTCTTTGAGAAATCCATTGCTACACCAATTGTCCTGTCTTTCACCATTTTCGCTTACTAGTTTCTTCTTCTTCTTCTTCTTCTTTGTTTTTTCTTCTTAAAAAAGAGATGCAGAGCACTTTCTTGCGTGTGAAAACTGAAAGCGGAAAAACAAAATACGCGTTAAGGCAAAAAGATATAAAGCTAAGGTTCGCTTGGGACAGCTATTTAAGGATATCGTTTTCTTAGTGCCGCTTGTCTTCTTTCGCTTTCAAAGTACACTAAGAATTTACGGATGGACACATTATAGTCATTTTACTCGGCAAAAAAATTATTCTCATCCGATGTTTTCATTAAATCACATTTAATTAATCATTGTTAAGTGATCCTCAGTCTCAATTTACGTGACGTTCACTTTTAATTGTCTTAATTATTCTAATTTACTTTTGGCGAGATATTTATAACTGTACAAATATTTATAACTTATTTTTTATCAAAAATTATAATTAAAAAAAAATTAAATTTTATATCTAGTTAAATATCATTACATAAATTTGGGACAAAGAGAGAAATATATTGAGCTAGGGACTATACATATTAATTTATTAATTAACTTTAGATAAGTGACAAAAGTGTATATAAAAAACTATATAATCTGCTTATCAATTTATTGTGAACATGAATGGATAAGTTTTAGTGCTCGAGTTGCTCATTTCTTTTGTTTTAGCTTAAAATGTGCAAAGAAAATAAAGAAAACCGCGTACCGTACATGACATTACAAATTTATTATTCCTTAATGAGTAATGTATGTGCCTTGTTAATTTTGATATTACTTCTTTTGGCAGTACTAGTAGATGAAGAATTATATACGTACCGTCGGGGCGGCCCGATCAATTTCGTGGCCTAAAACCAAATTTTACGAGGGGTCTTAACATGTTTATTAATAAAAAATATTTTATTTTTATTTGAAATCTATTTTTCTAACTTTTTTTAGATGCAAAGTTATTATTAATTATTTATAATCAGCTTCTCCTAATAAGTTTTTCTCAATTGACAATATAACTAATTTATTTAATATCTTTGAGACATTGTTAATCTTAGGTAAGGTTTTATCAATTTTAATTTTGAAACACTTTTTTCCGCTGAAGCAACGGTAATAGGAGTTATTAACATTATTCTAAAATAATCAAACCTTTTTATTTGATTGAGTATATCAATTAAATTATTATCTTCTAATTGTACTATTTTTCTTAATATTTTTGATTCAAAATATAAATCTAAACTATCAATATCGGGTTGATTATTATGATTTAAGGAGCGTTCAAAATGAAGGCAATATTTATTCAAATTTCCATCAACTAGTGATCTCAGTTTTTACCGCTAAATATAAAACCAAAAATATTTTCATATGCCTCTAATTGTTCAAATCTATTTTAAAGTGAAAAAATATCCTTGTCTACTACTCTCTCTGGTCCATAATAAGTGATTTTTTGGATTTTATTTTGGTCCAAAATAAGTGTCCTTTTATATAATCGAGAAAGAATTAACTTTATTTTTTTAAAATTTGCCCTTATTTACATATCTATTGGTGTCAAGTTAACAACATATAAATTTTAGTTAAGGATAATTCAGTCAAAATATATTTTTATTTTAGGAGTAAGTATTTTCTTAAGGGGTATATCAAAGGTTAAAAAGTCATTTATTATGGACCAGAGGGAGTATGTATAAAAAGTAATCAACTCTAAAGGACACAGAGAGATTTTGAGATTTCACTATTAACATTCTCCTCAAATTGTTTCTTCATATATATTACACGTTTCTTATGAAATTCGGGTTCGATATTAATTTCAAATGCAATTTCCTTGGCAGAAATCAAAACAGTTACAAATCCTTCATCTCTTTATTCGTTAAATAAAGAAATCAAACTTTTTCAATTCACATAACTTTTTTTTTTAAAATTTATATATAGCCTATTAGGTGTAAAAAAAAAAAATAGGGTCTCCACAAATATAGGGCCTAAAGCAATTATTTTACCTGCTTTATGGACGGGTCGCCTCTGCGTACCGTCTCTACAATACCTTCAACTATATTATCGTGTGATTTTGAATATCATTGAACCTGATTTTCATGTACTGTTTGTAACATAAGTTACAATTTTGATCTCATGAACAAGTTTGTTCATGTAACTTCTTTATGCATGCATTCAAAGAAATTGTATGTAAATAAGGCATGTCATTTGCTTATTGATTTGGTATAAACATTTAATATGATTAAATTTTTTAAGTTTGAGTTGCTTTTCTTTTGTTTAAGCTTAACATTCAAAGAAATAAAGGCGTACTTTAATATTTTCCGTCTCAAATGACATTATATAATTTATTTTTCCTTAATATAAATAATGCGTGTTCTGTTGTTAATTTTGATTAAGTAAAGAGAGTATTTTACATGCATTCCCTATAGTATGAATCCGCAATGACCATAGGGATAAAATAGTTTAATTTTTTTTAAGCGGTAAGTTGTGTGTATGAGTCAGCTAAATGTGCACCTTAATTAAGTAGATACTTGATACCATGTGCTCCGACACTAGTATCTGATAATAATATCAGAAAAAAATTATTTATAGTTCTTTTTTATCCAAGGAATTAAAAGAATGAAACATAACATATATATATGGATTAGGCAAAATTGAGCAAATTATCAATCTCTGTTTAGTTATTGAAACCAAAAACACGATCTTATCACAAGAGAAATAAATGCATTTTAAGCTTATTATCTTATTCAACGGGCATCATAAGTCGCAATGCTTGAATTCAACGACGAAGAGTTGTTGATCAGTGTTTGTGGAAATCTGGATCCTTGACTACAGTCACAGGGCAGGTCGCATTAGACATTACATAGTTTGTCACACTTCCCAAGAATATCCTGTTTTACCAAGAAATACATATAAATATTAATGGCATATTACTTGAATTATTAAAAAAAAAAAAAAAAAAAGAGAGACCAAATTGTAACTAGTAAATTTAGAAAAATAGAAGTGGAAATTATGGACAGATTAATAAAAAGTACCTTTGGATGGTAGTAAGGCCTCTGCTACCCATAACCAAAGAATCCAACTTCAGATCTTCAATAGCATCACATAGTTTCTCCCTAGCATCTCCCCAGTACAGTTTGGCGACAACATTTATCTATAGAAATATCAATGATTAATAATTTTAGAAAAATTAAACAAAAGAAAATTACCAAAAGGAAAAATGAAAAGTGTGGATGTTTGATGAAAACCTCTTTCTGCCTAGTAGCAGTATCAAGCAAATCAAGAACATCAATATCAGTCTTCACATCATATTTCTCCAACACTTCTAGCTCCCTAAACTCCACCAACGGAATTAAAGCTAACAAACAAAAGAAAACATCAAAGTATTAACAACCTGATACGCAAAGAATTTAACTTTAAAACAGAGAAAGAATTTCCGTACTATCATATCACCTAAACTATAAATACAAATAACATGCATGTCCATTGAAAGTAGGATCAGCAACCAAAGAAATAAATCAAAGTACTTACTGCAATAAACTCAAGTAATAGAAAAATAAGAAAACACAATTGAAGAAGAAAAACACTTTTCCTTATCCTTAAAGATATATTATATGTATATTATTTAGGAGATTATAAGCAAATCTCTTGAAAATTCAACAAACCAAAGTATACCGCATATTAATTATGCTACTTCACGAGAGTCCTTATATTTATAGAACTTTTGAGATGACTTTTTAGAAGTCATTCTCTTTTGACGAACACATATGTATGTTTTAGGGCAGCCCAGTGTACTAAAGGGCCAGACTACAAGAGTTTATTATACGTAGCTTGACCTTGCATTTTTACAAGGGATTGTTTTCACAACTTAAACGCGTGACCTCCTGATCACATGACAACAAATATGTTTGTTTTAAGACCCCTAAATATTACAAATTAACTCAACATAAAAGCTAAGTCCATCCACGAAAGAAAGAAAAGAAGAAGAAGAAAGGTTGAAGGGGTATCTTACGAGAACCAGATTGAGCCCAGAGCTTGTTACGTGACTCATCAGAAGAATGAGTTTTGATGTGGATGATGTAAAAGGTGTCGTCTTTGTCAGCTAAGTTATCAATGGCCCATTGCAAAGCAGTTTTGCTGCTCTTTGAGAAGTCCATTGCTACACCAATTGTCCTGTCTTTCACCATTTTTTGCTTACTGATTTCTTCTTCTTCTTCGTGGTTCTCTTATTACTAAAGAGATGAAGAGCACCTTTAATTCTTTTCGTGTGAAAACTGAAAGCGAAAAACAAGATACGCAAAAAGGTACTATAAACCAGGTTCGCTTTGGGCCAGCTATTTAAGGATTTCGTTCTCTTCTTTTCTTTTTCAAGTATATAAATAAAGATTTACAGATGGATAAAGTATAGTCAACCTTGTTGGAAATACATATACTTATTCTTATGCCTTGTTTGTAACTAGGGGTAATAAATGAGCGGGTCGGATTGGATAGAATAGGATCGGATATGATCAAGCGGGTCGAAAACTGCTAATACAAACCAAAGTGCTTTAATATTTTCTGCCCAGAATGACATTACAATTTATTTTTCCTTAATGATTACTGAACGTTGTGTTATTAATTTTGATCATCCTTTTCGGTAGTATAGTAGAGGGAGAATTTTACATGCATTCTCTAAATTAAAGTATTTGACGTATAACTCATATTTTTCTTATGATTTCAATTTTCAAATATCATAAAAACCTACTCTTCACATACTTTCTGTAATAAAACTACATTATAATCTCAAGTGGACAAGTTTATCCGTGTAATTTCTTTACGCCAAAATGACCATATTTACCTATAATTTTACACATTACCAATGCACAGAAAATCGTTAATTATCTCAATTATATTAGATAATGAAGCTGTACTAAAAAGAATAGCTTTCAAAATTCTTCCAAGAGGCCCTAGTGTTGGTAGGTAATATAAATATATATATATAGAACTCAAAAGCCGCCTTCAAGTGGATTTCTAAAGAATAAAAAGTGAATAAAGAAATTAAAATGACATGCTGCATAATGCATATACACAGCATCAACGACAATTAGCCGTTGGATAGTATGGTGGTATTAGTCTGTAATCCACTGGTTTATTCCATCGCCGCCTCCACTTGTCTTAAAAAATCTTTTAGTTTAAGCTTGATGTTTAATTTGATGGACCACTATTGTCATTTGGTATATAATTAATAGATAAAATTAATCTAAAAGTTAATTACAGATAAAATCAATCTAATACTTAAATTCTTTTTTCAGAACATCGTTTTTACTAGAGATGAGACCATTGATCGTTGCTTCTTTTAAGGGAATCCTATGAGAATATGTGTGGTTGACTCTGAAATGAAAAGTAGTTCTTTATGAAAAGATAATAAAAGGAAAAATGGTCAAATTTTCCTTACACTACTTGAAATCGAGTAAAATTTTTCCTTTATTAATTTTTTTGTATAAATCTTTGTTGTTAGAAAAAAGTTTTAATTTTGCTCTTGATTTTTGGCGGAGCTCCAACTTGAGAATTATTTTAAATCATTATTAAAAATTAAGGGTTAAATTTGAATATTTATTTTCGAAGAACTCGGATTCTTGGAGTTCACCGAGGATGCAATTTATTAAAGGGCTTTTATATTTAATCAGTCGGTCAAAAATTAATTACAATCATTAATCAATATACAAAAATTATATAGTATTGATTATGTATATGTATATTATATTTTAATATATAAAAAATATATATATCGGTTATTATTTTAAGGCGGCCATATTATTAAAGATATAGCGAAATCTTTACCGATCATGTCAATCTATTTTACTGTGAAATATTTGGAATTTAGTACACGTACTGTGTATGAGTCACAGGGTTGAATTGTCGAAATATTAATAATTTAAATAATCTAATATTAAAAGATTATTCATGCGATGCTCAACTAATGTTGTAAAGAATATTGAAGTAATATTTGGTATGAGTAAAATCTACAAATTTAAATGAAAGTGACACTTGTCTAACATCTTAAATTTTTTTTTAAAAATAAATAAATAAGTACACATTTAGCTTGATATAGTATAGGTTTTAAGTTTCAGTGTTACCGTCACCCAAATTTTCACGTGCTTACTAAAGGAAACAAAATCAGATTTGTTATAAAATAAAAGCAATTTAGTAAAACATGAAGACATATTATGAAATAAAAGCAATTTAGCAAAACATGAACAAGAAATAGAGATAGAGAGAAGGAAGAGA